GTTTGTTTGTTTGTTGGGGTGTTGGGTTGTTTGTTTGGTGGACATTAAAAGCAAGGCAGGCCAAAATAAGTCGGAAAGTTAGGTAAGCTATGTGCGAGTAACGCTGTTCTGCCTGTGCTGTCACTACTGTGTGTACTGTAGACATTTTACATGATAATAAGGCGTAGTTGCGTCGCAGGTGCTCCCTGTTGCTCGTCGATCGTCGTGGGTTAGGGTTTGTTTGAAGAGCGGCCTTTTGCAATGTGGCTCACATCAGTCAAGCAATAATAACTAACGAATACTAGAAATTGATCGATAAACTTGTAAATGGATAATTTAGTTAAATCAAATAACAATCGGAAGGTATGCCTGTCAAAAAAAGAAGTCTTGAAAATTCACTTCTACAGCAAATTTGTAAAATAAATGAAATTTAAAGGCCAAAAAAATCTCAATTACAGTTTGTAAACCTATTATTCAGGTATTTGACCCACATTCTGACCTCAAAATTCCACTGAGAATTAAGTTAATCCGTTGATACCATGGATTAGTGAGGGCAGTTTTAACCGGGTGAAATATCTGAGCACACATTTTACAAGGGGGAATTTAGAGCAAATTAAACCATGATTTGTGTTTGAGCCCCGCCTTCANTTTACAGGCTTCTAGGGGGATGTGTTAGGTAACAATAATCTAGAATGTGTATAGGATTGGACATGTAGGGGGGGGGGACCCATCGGCCCCACATCGTGCACGGTATCCCTGAGTTAGAATCGACGGCACAATTTTCCTAGAATTTTCAGAGGCTCCTGCGGTCGGTGGTGCACTTCGTTGTGTCGGGACGATTATAAAATGCACGGGTTACGGTCACATCGCTACCAGTAAAATGAAAACTGGCAAACCGGCTCCGTTCAGCAGATGAGGGGTGCTTCGTATCAGAGCAGATAGGTCGTGTACATTTCAAAACTGCAACATGGAGGTGATAAGGGAGAGGGCTTGGACGTGTGCCGCCTTTCTAATTTGTAGATGTCTAGGAAACAAATCAGGACATCAAGACACCAGAACATCAGCATATCAAGCGTATCACAAAACTTCCACGTCTGTGGTTCCCTTTTCATCTGACAATCACTCAAAACAATGAAAAGCAAAAGAGGCCAAAATAAGCAAGAAATTAACAGACACAAAGGTGAACTTTTTTACACGAATATTTAATTGAAATACGAATTTACCTTATTTATATATGTACAAGTTTTATACATGAAATGTAAATAAAGCAGTTTTTAGTGCTTACAACTTTTAGAAACAATTACAAAAAAATTGGAACAAGATTGATACGACACTAAAATAAAAATGCAATACAATTGACTGGGCCTTTTCTATGATTCAGACTCAAATTTTTGTACAACCTGAAAATGACGTACACAATATGAAAATCTGTAGTATATTAACGTACTTGAATTTCTTTGTAAATCCCTATTTATCCAACACCTAGCCTGCGTTCCAACCTGCAGAGTTATTGGCATCATGAATTTAAGGTAAGTAAATACATGTAGGAACACGGTACATATGTAGATGACACACATGGAACACATCTGTAGACACAGGGTATCAACCAAAGTTGGTTCAAAATTATTCGTATAGAATTTTCTTACTCCTTTGGCATTAAAATGTTTTGGACAATTCTTTAAAAAGAAAAGTAAATTTTTTCTTCCATTTGCATCCAATTTCCCTCTAGAAATTGTCCTGATGACAGTTTTGACCGAAGGGTGTTGAAGAACTGATACACCAATTCAGTTTGGTAAATTGATTTTTGTCAAACATGTCAACTAAACAGGCTGACTGTGATTAATTACATTTAGTAAGTCACATCTAGTTTTAGCTAAGCTATTCTTCACTGGAAATTTTTTTGGGGGGGGGTTAAAATGCATCAAAGATACATGTATGTTTCTTTTGAAACAACGAAAGTTGTTGATTTGGGTGGGCTATTCACTGTAAACAACTACTCACAACAGACCTATAACATAACCTCACACTTTGTTTACGTGTGCTTCCCTATGAAGGCTGTATGGATCATGTCATACCTCACTACCATAGGAAAGCGCGGATGTCACCAAAACATGACTTTGGTTATGTTACAAGTCTATTACTATGCTGTACTTTGCCAAATGTTAATTTAAAACTGGAGTATATGGGCAAATTTTTTTTAAAACTATGATTAAAGCAAAAATTTCATAAAGCACTTTTAGTAAGAGATAAAGATGTAAGCAATGCTAATTCTTTCAACAAAAGGAAACGACTCTAGGTGACCGACACACCAACTCTTCCACATAATCAAACATTACTGGTACGTGCAATGAATAAACCACAAGTTTTTGTGCTAATCCTTATATCTAAACATATATGGGGAAAAACTTTTCTTTGTCTCCAATGGGTCACCACTAAATCCCAGGGTCTGCCGTGATGGTTGAAATGAATGGTAGCAGCTAGGCACTACCATCAGGGCTGTTAAAGTGGAATTTGTTAGAGCTGAAATGCAAAAGAAAACTCGCACTCTACGAAAATGTGGATTTGACATCATGAAGCACGCCGACATGAGATTTGCCAGAATTGAAATGTGTACCACGTAGGCAAATTTGCAAGGTATCTGCCATGATGTCACAATCTCGCAGGTTGCCAGGTTATCAGACACACTGCATAAGAGTAGCTTCCACAGGACAACCCAGACCTGGGAAGGCCGTGTGTGCTGTGTGTCAGACAAGCAAGACGGTTTGGTCAAGGTTGAACTGAATCAGCCTGTGGAAGCTACTCAAACACACCCACTGTACAAATCAGCTCGAGTAGAAAGCATTTGGCCAAGTTTTCAGAGAGTGGCTTATCTCCTTCAGCTTTGACTGATTTTGAGATCCTTGATGTGAACTTTTTGGCTCAGTAAAGGTAGAGTTCTTAGTTACCGGATGACAGTGCTCAAGATGGGAAGTCTTTTTACGATATTTGAAAAGGCCTACAGGTAGTTGTAAGGGAACAGAAAAACCTGGAGACATAATCTGGGCTTGGAAAATACATGGATATTGTCAAGGATGGTCTAGTCTGGTGACAACCATGTCTGTATGTGTCCAACTTGGAAATCATGTCAAGAAGTCTGGACTCTCAATGCCTTTGTACTGACTGAAGCCACCAGCACCCATCTTACCATGCCCAATATAAAGCTGCTGGTTGGCTCGCGTGTCATAGTGTCTATTGATTCCATAACTGAATCTGGTTCGCAATGGTGGGGAAGCCTTTGTAAGAGCTTTGTGTCCTGCCCAGTAAGATAGCTACCAGTGGCTCCACTGACCAGTGGCTTCATTGTGTTGACAAGGAGCATTAAGGGTGCGTTCGCGCGGTTACTCCTGTTAACACGAGTGGGATGAGTGCGCATTACACTCGGGTACAAGAGTACACTCCCCCTCTAGCGAGAGTATACTCTTGCTGACCCTCCAGCTGTTCAAGCGCTCAGGAGTATACTTGTGTTAACATGAGTAGCTCGCTCCAACGCACCCTAAGAGTCCAGACTTTTAAGTATGTTGAAGGTGTCTAACAACCATTTTAATGTCCAGTCACTGACCTTGAACTCCAGAACCTGGATACACTCATTACAAAACGAGACCTCCAGCAACAAGCACACTGCAGGGTTGATAACGGGCCCAACAATCTAATCACAATCTGAACAACATTTAATTGCTTGCACCAAAAATCAAACTTTTTGGCAAAGCAGATTCCAACAGAATAAGCTCACAAAACAGAATGCAAGCTTGCAACTAAATTCCAGAGCTATACAAAAATTTTTGCACATCACAAAATACACGTCTGTTATCCACATATTTTACAAATTAACAACTCAGAGCTATGGTACATAGTTTCTTTTATGCTTTGGAAAACAATATCAAAACAATTTTTTCCTAAGACTCAGGCAGTGATTTGGAAAAATATCTGATGAAGTGAGGAAAAAAATATAAGAAATGATATCCTCCAGCATCCATGGCTACAGATACATGGGGGGGGAGGGCAGAAGAGTCCACTGGCTCAAAATCTTCCAAACCTTACTACGTGGTGTGTATTCCTAACACAGGAATAAACGGAAGTCAGGGTCAAGCATTTAACACGAGATGTAGTCACATTAGGGGTACATGCGAATCCTTGAAAAAGGTCCCCCATTCTGTCGTATACACAACACCCAAGTTTTTTTAAACTACACAGCCATCACAAAGACTAAGTAATGTAAGAAATTCTTGTGGGAGTTCTTCCTCCAAATGTCCAACAGTACAATGAAAAATGCTAAAATCCTCAACAATTGTTGAGGGTGAAGTCTCCATTATGTACGGGACAAAGTGTGCGCAGTCTTGCCCTTGGGTTATTCAGGGTCTCATGAGACCTAGGACGGGAACTCGGGTCTAAGGACCAAAGAGCCAATTCTGTGGAGCTGTCTGATTACTATACAATACCAAAATGCGAGGTCGTTTTGAACCAGGGAGTGTAGTGGGAACGAATGGAGTATGCACGCATATGTTGGTTTACACGCCGGTTCCTCAATTAATGCCTTGTGCACACAAAATTGTTCGCGTGACACATTCCCTTTGGTACTCCATAGCAGGAAGAGGTGGGCAAAAGGCCACCTCCGAATCTTAGACAACGGGCACAATGCAAAGGACAACTTACCCCTTTTTTTCCTTGCAGGGGGGGTGACAAACAAGGAAAGAATCGTAACGACTCGTTTGTGTAACACTTCAACGGGTCAAAAACAAACCCACTGTGTTTCTGTCATTTTCAGCCAAATAGATGACTCTGAGGTAGAGATTGACAGTGTCAGTCAGGGATTAACAATTTCGGTGCAATGATCAAATCAGTTCTTTTAGCTGACGGATTTCATATTGGCAGAGAGGCTGACTGAAGTGGGGAGTGACTGGGGAGAGATTCAGTGATTCATCAGACGTAAAACAGAGTGAAAATTCGCATCACTGATTGCAGAGCGTATCGGACAAACTTACAAGAGGACGAAAACAATGGCTAGTTACAAAACTGAGAGAATTCAGTCTTACCAGACAAGTAAGGTAGGTTTACAACAAAATTGGTGATTACCAAGGGATTTCGAAGAAAACCATAGCTTGCTTCCAAATACATCTTTACATTTTTGTGCGAGAATGAGGCTTCAACCGAATCAATCTTTGCCATTCGTGTGCTACAGTGAACAAAAGCTGTAAGTAACAACACCATTTTCTGAAACAGCGTGGTGTCCCATGGGAGTATGGAGGGAGCCATTCTTATGGGTCAAAGGTCAAAGGGCATCTCAAAGGCACGCAAAGGTGCTTGCTTTGCTTTTGATAATACAACTTTGTATGTCGCATGACAACTTTGAATTCCGAGGACAGTGTGGGTGTCACGTGACTTCTTGAAGGTCCCGGGACAGTGTAGAAGTCACACCGGGAGTGAAGGGTCAAGCCTGAATTGAGAGGTGTGTGTTGAAAGTTGGAAGTACCAGGACTCAGAAGTCAACGTTCTTTTCAGCAAATGCGTGCAGGTTGCCCATTTGGCTCATGCCGCTCTGGATATGTGCAATGTGAACCTCCACGTTGTCCTGGAAACATCTGAAAAAAAGAACAACAATGAGACGTTCAGTTCCATTGCAACCTTAAACTAACACATCACCTTGTGTTCCCGCTACTGCAATTGGTGATGAAGTCCTCTTGATTCATGCTTTAACCAGAAATGTGGCAGAATGCTCCCCCCCTTGACCATTTTTCTGATATCACTGCAAAGCATTTTCCACTGATGTCATACAATCACACCCATTTTACCACTAATGGACCAACCTTTCCCACACAACACTTGTATTTCTGAGGTATGTTGGACAAAAATACCTAATTTTCCCATTGCTTAATTCTTGTGGACTGACACATGTGAGGCCATGGATTGTATACACGACCATAATGAAAGCCAGTGTTGGACTGAATTGAGAATTTCATGAACATTCATAAGAGCATCCATAGTTAATTCTTCGGTTCTGGCATTTTTTGGACCTTGAAGGATGGCCGGTAAGTAAGTTAATCAGGGAACAAACGGGGGTAAAAATGTACTTGCTTGTGCAAAGAAATTATTCAGATGATTACTTTGTCTCAGGTTTGTTTTCTTGGTAAGACATTCCAGGCAGGTTGAAAGAATAAAAAAGGGTTTGGCATTTTTCCTTGATCAGAGCCAACCCCGGCCACGGGATGGCTAGAAAAAGCTGTTTTGGGAGAAACGTGTGCATGTGTACCCAAACACCCTTCCATTCATGTCTGAAACTGATTTAAAATAATGAGACAGGGTACTCAAAAACAATAACAAGATATATTGCAACTTCTCAGATAATGAATAAAGATTTTGAACGTTTTTATCAATAAGTTTTAAATAAAATTTCAGTAATAATTAATAACAAGCCATGAGCTCTCATTATGTATACAGATGTACAGACAGCAGTAATGTTACAACCATTTTTGTTGTCCAAAAGTTTTTAAGAAACATTTAGGGAAAGGCAAAGTTGGATACATTTTTCTGTTTCTTTTCATTTTTTTTGTCTTTGAATGGTGAAATTGACTCCTGTTGCAGGCACTTGTATCTTACAGAGGTATTTGAAAGCCAAGGGGGCTTATGCTCAAACTCGGTATCACTGCTGTTGCAACAAGTTAAACTGACCTGAGATTTGAAGGATCAATCTTCTTTTTGATTTCTTCTAATGACTCGTTCAGCGACTTGAAGCCGTAGGAATTCATGTCATTCTTCGCTAACGACTACAAGGACAGCGAATACAGAAATCAGACATTAGGGACGTCTTTGAAGAGCACAAGTTCACTGTATCAGCCACATCAACTCCATCTACATGTAGTCTGCCATTTTGGAATATTTTCCTGAACCACAAGAACATGCGGAAAACGTTTTTTTCCCATAAGACTCCAGGTATGGGAAAGTATGCAATGTATTAAAGCTGCGCACGAAAGAGGAAAAATTGACTTTACGAGGGTACACTTAAAATGCACTAAACAGACAAATCACTAAGGTGCAGGCGCACAATTTTTATCCTCAGTGATGTGAACAGATGTACCAAGCTAAGGCAAATACATGGTAAGTACACATACTATGTACACTTACGTACCCCATGAATATTAATGACTACATTCCAAACTCTCATTGTAACAACTCTACAGTTGGGTCATTCTATAAATTAGACTCTTTTTTTGTGTCCCTGTCACATCTGACATAAGATTTTGTAAGTTCAGAACACATTCCAAGAGAGATGAATTAATGCGACTAATGCCTAAGCTGCATATTCCCATTCATAAAGAAACTTTTTTGTCAGAGAGTCAAAAGCAGTCAATAAGATGACGGATTTCAAGCAATTTTGTGCTGGAATTTTACTTGCAGTTTCTTGAACACCCCTGTTTATTTTATGGAATATTCCCTGTGTAAATTGTCCAACTGGTGAATGGGTGGCGAGCCATATGCACAGACCCTTGACCAATCAGAATCGACCAAACTCTCTCGTATCCAGGTCCCAGCATGTGATTTACGCAGCCAGCATTATCACTTCTCAGCAGGCATTATAAAATGTTAGTACATGGTCAAGTTGCGCTTTGTTGAATAGGGAGACTCTCTAAGGTATTCATGAATGCAAATTACCTGCCAAACAACTAGAAATTGTTTGAAATCAATTTCAGTGATATGTATATGTTCTGGTGTAAGGACACAATAATGTCACAGTTTTGGACCCCGAATTTATGGAATGACCCAGTACCAAGCCAACTTTTCAATAAGAGCTTTTATCTGCAAATGCAAACTGAACATATCAAGTTCAACAGACACAAGGTGGCGCATGTGTAAAAACTGACACTGAAAATAGCAGCAGAACAAAGAGATCATGTTGTAAAGTACAGTGACTGACAGAAGTACGTACATTGGATGTATGGAAAGATGAGACTTCCATGTACATGTACACTACTTCTGCCCCACATGGAAATGAAGGGAAGTGGAAAAACTGGGCAGGTGTCTGGAACCTTTCTGTTCAAAAGTCTTTCTCTTTGTTTGGTCATGGTTTATTCATGACGAGTATGTGTACTTCAGTCTAACACCACAACACACATGTACCAGTTTTCTTGAATGCCACACACTTATAGAAAATTCATAACATGGCCAGTCTTAAATGGTTGACAGAGCACTGACTGGCTGATGTGAACCTTTTCCCGGTGTCCCATGACCTTTCGACTCCAATCAAATCTGGTTTCCTTTTCCCTTTGTTCACAATCTTCACTTATGTTTGCCCAATACTTCCTGTGATTCAGCATTTTGAGACTCCATTTTGAAAATCTCCAAATTGTTTACAACTGCTCACGAGAGGAACTAACAGTAACATGGCCACAGGGGTATTTGAAAAAAATGAGGAAAGTTAAATCTTTAAAACATTTGTTTTGATGGTCTGACTTGCACATTATCTATGAATGGGAATACGTGTAAAATGTGTCCCGAGGTCCTTGTATCAACAAGAGTTGACTGCACTTTTTTGTGTGCAATCTGACACTTACCAAAGGTGATCTTTTTTCTGTCAACTTTGGTCACCCATACAAATACATGTATGAAGTAGGCAATATGAGAGCGGTCTACGATGGAATAATAAATAAGCCTTTGTCATGATGCTGCCATGTTTTTCTTGTTCCCAGTAGCCCCTTTGGCAATGGTAGCACAATTTCACTTGTTGAAAAAAAGGAACAAACTTTATTTTTCAGGCCGTGTCCAAAATGGGCTTCCAGAGCTACGGCTAGGTCTACTGTCTACAGGTAATGCAGTGAAGACCAAGATCTAGCTCTAGACATTAGATTCAGATGCAGTCTCAGTTTCGTTACACTGCTTTGAATGGTAGGAAAGCAAGATGGCTGCCCCATGACGGGTCTGTGGTGTAGGGTTGATATTCCTGGTGCCACCTACCTTGATCTGCAGCATTAAAGATGTCAAGCTGGCTATCAAATCGTTCAGCTTGGGGTTCTTGACGGCCTGGTCGCCCAGCGCCAGGTTGGCATCGTGAACCATCTGACTGGCCTCCTGATCGCACTGTAACCGATCGGCCGTGGGCTCCGACAAGGGCGGTAGTCCCTGCTCCGGTGCAATCTGAGTCAACACACACAAACACAGGACAAAATTTTAGGGTGATTTTGATTCTGGGTAAGCTCATCCAGTGCTCAGTGCAGTTGTACAAAGTATAAATAAGGCCGGGTAAATTTCAATTTCCATGGAGATCTAAAGCCTCAGCACAACACAAAGCATGCAACTGTGACTTCACAGTAACCACTGATATCCTTTCGACACAGACACCCAAGGTACAGATTTTCAACAATATCAGATTAATTCCATGATGCCGACTTTGCAGAGCATAGCAGCTTGCATCCCATGCACTAAACCTTTGTTTCACCAAGGTTTCACTTTTACAGTCTTGAGAGACTGTCAAACAACCGATGTTGTCCCGCAAAAAATATAACATGAAACAAAAAATGATCGACAATAAACCTTAAAAACAAATGTGTTCCACGTTTCACCGTACCATGTGACGCCAAAGTACTTGTTAGGGCCTCCTCTTTATTTCATTTTACATGGCCCCATCAAATGAACCATTAGTTTATCAGCTGTGTACGTCTACATACGAATGTAGATGTACTAAAGAGCACATACATGTATTTGCCAGATTTCCTAACCATCTGATATACATTGTGCTCGACCAAGTGGACCCCTAAATGTTGTTTCAATGTCAGTGTTAAACTGGTTCACGTCAGTACTGCTTGAAACCTGCTGCTTGTGGTTGGTATACTGCAAATTCAGGCACCAAACATGCTCTGCATGTTCATCAACGGGGCGTAAGTCCTAAAGGGGAATGGAAGGGGGAGGAGTGTATCTCCGACCACTTTTTAACTTGGGGGATGGGCTATTGTTTTGGTTTATCTATCCCTTTTTCATGGCAAGAGATAAAGAGAGGAAACTTATTTTTGGAATTTCCCCAACAGCCAAGATGTATTCAATATCGGTACTGAAAAGGGGTGAAGTATAAAAGCTTCAAATATGTCATTTCGATCCAAGATTATGGGATGCGAGTAAAAATAATATGTACAAAATGTGTCATGAGCAGCGCTCAGGGCAGTAGTGGCACAGTAGGGCAATCAATTTTATTTCTCAGTTGTGTTACATGTACAGATTTATGCCACTGATCATCACATCCATCTCCAAAGGACAGAACTGCATAAACTGTGTATAGGTTTCTGATGCCAAGAAATAGCAGCATCACCAAGGACTATATACTGATAATGAGCTATGTATGCAATCACACATATGAAGCCAAACCACGGTTCACAACCATGCACAATGCATGAAACCTACAAGTAGATACTCAACCAACCATAAAAACTTCACGTGTGAAATTAGGCTCCTATGACATTCGGGCTTTATTTTCCTTAAAAAAAACAAAAAAAAAAACACCCTGTCCACAATTTCGACCCGGCATTTGAACCCATACCCCATGCATCACAAACCATTATGCTGTAACCGCAATAAGCCTTTTGTGAGTTAACATTGACCCAAATCTGGTACAATGAGTTCCTTAAATTCACGTGAACATAACAACTTGAATTCTCCTTACTAAAACCACTGTTGCTAAACCTTGTGATTCGGGGCAAGCTTTTGCTTAGTTACATAAGAGATGCCTTGCAACAATACACTGTTCTCAATGGATAAGAAGGGCACAAAGGAACCAGTCTATTCCAGAGATGGTGGTCGCTATGCGAAAGCTTGCCCCGAATCAGGAGGTATAGCAATAGTGTCTTTAGTCTGGGGAAATTGTTATGTTTATGTGCATTCAGATAACTCAGTGCACCAGATTTTATTCAAATTTAACTCACAAATGGCTTATTCACACAGGTTAACAGCGGATGAACGGCTGCAAAGCGAGTCTAATACACATTGGGCATGTGCAATAGAAACACAACCACCGTGGTTTGGCTTCATACATATGACTACATATATATCTCCTGATAATATATGCAGGGCTAAGACAAAGTAACTAATTAAATGTATGTGTCACATGTACTTGCTCGAACAGGTTAAATACGATAATCTGAGAAAGACCTGCCACCTGACACTGATGAATTACTTACCTACAAACAAATCAAAAATATCAAACCTGTATGTACTGCTCATTAACCACGGAGTACGTTCCAAAAAAATAAAAATGAACAAACTCATGAGCATTTATCATGCCACAGTGTACAGCATTCACATGCACAGCATATGATTCCTGCCATACCTGCATGCTTTTCAAGGCTGAATGGTTATTTTCATGTTGTTGTTTTGTGATTTATGATATAGATTTAATCACTGAACTGCAACCTCTCCTTCATTCACATTTTGAATTCAGCAGGTGATTCGGGGGCATTGGAATAGCGAGGCATAACCACGCTCAGCGCAATGCAAGCAACACTAGTCAGCCGCATTCCCCTGTGACAATGCAACGATTGTGTACACAACTCCAAACGTGGTTTTTCCAACGACGAAGAATGCGTGCGTATTGCACTGGCTTGCAATTCTGTCATTTTTCCCACGATATTTACCGCGGAATCTCCCTCCAAATCTCCCTTCTTTTCGTCTTCATCCTCGTCCTCGTCGTCCCAGTGATACCCGTTGAAGTCCTCCTCCTCCTGCCTCGGTATTTTGACGACTTTTACGGGGACATAATTCTTCCGTTTCCGCGGTGATTTTTGCGGCATACCCGCATCGGCCAAGCGCCGTGCCACACCCGGGCTTCCCTCGAAATTCACGGCGAGTAACGATTGGTTCCCGTTAGCAGCGAAATGTACGCCACCTTGGGGTTCATCTTCCATGATTCTGGTCCAAACCGGCTCATTTTAACGCCATTATTGCCGAGATTTTTCAGGCACCGCCGACAAAATTCTTGCAAGGCCGCCGAACAAAGAGCTCGAATTTTCTCCTGGTTTTTAAACTGAGGAAGCCATATTGAAATTTGGGCATTTAAATTGATCCACGCATGCTCAGAAAGGTTACGAGTCAGGTTGATTTGACGCGATTGGTCGTGAAAAGTCGAATCGACGGACCAATCAGATTTGAGTGGGTCGATGTATTGACCAATTGGATTCATGCACGCAGGTCATGTACGAAAAAAATTGCGGGAAAACCGCGCGAATCTTCAAGTATCTGCAACGATTCAAAAAGGAGTTATTTTTTTTCGAAATCTCAAACCTCACGTGTTTTAAATTAAGTTTCATCAAGAGACAGATAGGAAAATTTACATATGACCATTTATCACCAGTTTTATGGTCGTCTGTTCCCTTTGCTATAATGTTTAATTCAAAATTTTCACAACTCTTATGTTGTTTGTGAACTCATTACTTTTGTTTCTACTGACCATACTGCATTTTTTCTCCCTTTAAACATGTTTTTAAATGGTAAAAGCTTAATGTTTTACCAAGATATCTAACATGCTCCACCTTTCAGAAATATAAAAATTTCGATTGTAAATGGAAATCCAAGTCACAAATCAGAATTCTTTTAGATTGTTTCAATCCGCTAAAAGTAGGAATCCCAGGATGTGTAAAGAAAAAATCCCACAAAATTAGCTGTGCACCGAATCTTTTCAAAAACTCTTCCAGACAGAATTTTACAACATGTATCTGCAAAATTCCCCATCTGGTAGGTTACTTATTACTGATTTTTTTTTTATCAAATGACATTAACAAGATGTCGTCAACAATTTTCAAGCGATAAAACTGTCCAAATAACTGGACGTACATCTACTTGTTAAAGCCTGTTCTTCAAAATGTCCACAATGTATTTCATGAAGTTAGGACCCAATTTCAAAATTTTTAAAGAACACTTCAAATAATGTTTATTTAAAGCATATGAACAGGATATTATTTCAATACTTAACTTTTTAAGCAAGTGCGGACACTAGAATAAAACACTCAAAACACAAGCAAAAAGAATTTTATTTTCTTCATCACTTGAAAATACATGAACACAGAAGATGTAAAAACCCTGGCCTAATAGTTATCTTTTCAAGAGGATGTCCGTTGTTGTTTCTTAGAAGGTATCAAGTTGTACCATCTAGTTTCCAGGAGAGGTGTGGAGAGAGAATGGTTTCTTTAAAACATAAAGGTCTGAGTACTTTTTGTTAAGGAAAGTTACTGATGGATTAAATGCACCTTCATGTGTAAACAAATCTTCAAAAGAGATTGCTTATCTGAAGACCATTGAAAATGGACAGCCATTGAAACGGTAGTTTAACTTCTTTATCGGATTTAAATGTTGGTCCAATTGCGAGTGGACAGTATTTATCACTTTCTAGAAAAATCCATATGCATATGAGAAAGTGGGAGGCAGGAGGGGAGTTTCATACACAAACTCCTTGGCAAATGATCCCTGTTGGCAAATGATCCCTGTTGGCAAATGATCCCTGTTGGCAAAT